TTATAGGAAGGGCTGGATATGAGGTCACACAGGAAGTTCCGGGTGAGCACTTAAATTAAGGTAGGCAAATGGAGCTGAACTGTGACAGGGAATGCCAAGCTGCAGACTTCTGCTTTTCTAAAAGATGGCACCTCAGTGACATGTTCTGAAACTGGTCTGGTTTGGCAAAGGGAGGTAGGACTATGTGTTTTGGGGCATTTTTAAAGGGAGCAGGACTTAATGGCAGAAATCTGCCATTTACTCTAAATCTGCATAACCTTTAAGTAAACAACCCCTTTCCTTTTTCACCAAACTCTTGACTGGGAGTCATGCTTCTTGGTAGCAGGCAATTGAGCCCCACAGCTGTGCCAGGACAGCATTGGCGAGGTTCTGTAACACAGCGGTCAACACGGTCTGGCCCCCTACTACTTTTCCTACTTCTCTCCCCCTTGCCCATCCCTCTCCAGCTTCCTTGCTGTTGTTCACACTCCTACTTCGGGGTCTTCCCATATTCTGTTTCCTCTGCCTGGAAATGCTCTTCCTCCAAAGGGCCAAATGACTTGCTCCCCCATTTCCATCCGATTTCTGTACTAGTGCCATCTGACAGGCGAGACCATCCCAATAGCCCCTCCTCCCCCAGCTTTTCTTTCACCAGCCCTCATACTATATATCTACTTTTCAAATTGTTTTTTGTTTTCCTAATGCCTACCCCACACCACCTAGAATGTGAGATCCATGAGAGCAGAGGAGTTTGGTTGATGCCTAAAACAGTGCCTGCCTGGCACAGTATTAGGTAGGTAATAGCAGCTGACCAGTATTCATTAACAAATAAGAAGAATGTATGTTTGTGGGGGATGGTGTACAGGGCAGGGGAGAGTAATGGTGGAGGGAGTGAGGACAACTGTTATTGAATAATAATAAAAAATTAAAAGAACGATTACTTTGCCCTGGCTGGTATGGCTCAGTGGATTGAGCATGGGCCTGTGAAGCAAAGGGTTGCTGGTTTGATTCACAGTTAGAGCACATGCCTGGGTTGCAGACCAGGTCCCCAGTAGGGGACACATGAGAGGCAACTACACATTGATGTTTCTCTCTCTTTCTCCTTCCCTTCCCCTCGCTCTAAAAATTAATAAATAAAGTATTAAAAAAAAACCCAAAGCGATCACTTACCACGTATGGGGGCACTGTTATGAGGATTGAAATATGCTCACCCTTACAGCAGCCCTATGAGGTGGGTACATGCTACCATCACACCCATTTGAAAGACCAGGAACTGAGAGGTACAGGCATGTGAGGTGATTTGCCAAGGCACAGGATGCGAAGCCATACTTCCAACCATTGTGTTGTCATTTATTGAGATCCTACTCCAGGCTAGACACTGTCTAAGCACTGGGTTTGGCAGTGAACGGAACAGAGTCTCTCTGCTTTAGATTAAGAGACTTAAATAAAAGAATCAAATGCAATGGCAAACCTTAGTGGATCTGGGTTTGGATAAAAGAGCAGGAGAAGACATTTGGGAAATAACTGGGGAAATAAGAGTATGAGTTAGGTATTTGTTATATTGAAAAATTATTAATCTTTTAGATGTGATAATATTGTGGGTAGGAAGAAATATGTTCATTATTAAAGATGCATGGTAAAGCATTAAGGGGTGAAATGTCATTAGGTCTACATACTGAAACACTTCAATGAAAAATAGGTTAACAACAGTTAAATCTAGGTGAAGGAGGAATGGTTATTCATATACTATCCTTGGTTTGTTTGAATATCTTCATAGTAAAAAGGTTTTTTAAAGCCATAAAAAAGGAAAACATATGGAGCTTGCACTCTAATGAGAAGACAGCTCACTGTGGGCCATCCCTTCTCCCCACGCTGTGGGGGAACATGCAACTGCAAGGTGATCAGCAGAGGTTTCCACCCTGATGTCCGTGACAGATAACTCCATGAAAATCTCTGAAGCGACCCTTACTTGCCCGGCTTTTGCCTTCTTTGTTCTCTCACCATATGGTACCTCATGTTAAAAATCCTCAATTTTAGTTTCAATCAAATTTTGAGAATTGCTTTCTCAATTAGACCCCAATTCACAAAACTAAAGAAAAGATTCTTCCATTTAAGACACAGGTGTTACACATCTGCACACTATCAAATCACATAATTTTATGTTTGATTGATAAAGCTTCCATTTTATGGAATAAATATAGAAAATAACTCTCAGACAGTGAGTGGCTTTATTTTCCCCTCTCCAGAAACAACCAATTATATATCATGCTTCTAAGTTGGTCCTTTGATGTAAAGAGTTTAGAAAGTTCCATTTTCATATTGCCTTCAGACTTAACTTGCCAGACACAAGGAAATCGAACACTCTCTTGGCTTATAACTTTTTTGTCCTTATCTTCCTCCTTTTCCCCTGTCTTTTTCCTTTTTATTTAAAACCCTTCCCTTGACTCTTACGAGTACGTGTCCAAGGTGCCCCAAAGAGGGTTTGGGCTGGTGTTGACAGGGACCTAAGGTACACTACAAAGAAAAGCCGTCAGAATATGGCTTTCTCAAATGTAAATCTATAAACAATTCTTAATTATGGTGCTTAATTACAGTTGAGCAACTCCTAATTGTCATGTAAGGGTTTTTTTTTTTTGGGGGGGGGGCACGGTGTAAAATGGAATTCCAAAGACAGCTATCAACTTTGGAGAAAGAGAGCTTAAAGAAGCAGCTGGGGTTTACCTAGTTTAAGTGGTTGGCTGGGGGCAATTAAAGGTGGCAATATCCCAGTTGGATTTCACAACTGCTTAATAATGCAAGCTTTTGAGTTGCTGGAACAGCTGGGAAAACAGCACTGTTTGTCATTGACTTTACAGTGCAAAGTGAGGGCTGTCCTTTGTGTCGGTGGTTATGCATTTTTAAGCAGATGTCACTGATATTAGAAACAAAATGACAACAGGGATCCAGGCCCCGGAGGCGAAATCAGGATGGGAAACAGCCTTGCCCCTTTCTAAACGAGCCTCACCCATGCTCACAGCACTTCAAAGAACCTGGGGTTATACTCAGCACGTGTGATTCCTTATCTTTCTAATCATTTGACAGGATTCAAAACTCTCTTGGGAAAGTCAATTTCTGGCCATAGTTCCCCCCCCCCCCCAGAATAATGAAGCAACTATACATTGGACAAGGTCCTAATTTCAGATATTTTATTTTATTGTCTTTATAAACTAGAGATCTCAAACCTTCCACTAGCAGGCCAACTGTGGCCCTGTGAGAATCTTGCAAAATAATAAAAATTTAACTGAAACAGATACTTAATAGTAAGGAAGATAAGAAGTGTAAGCTCCCTTTATCACAGCAATCTCTTTTCATCAAAGCCTGTGTGATTCTCTGATACTTTCTTGTCGGTGGACTGTCTCCCCTCACTGGCATATAAGCTCCATGAAAGCAGGGACCTGGTCCAAGTGGGTCACCCCAGTGTGCCTCTAACAGTCCCTGGCACAGCGAACAAAGCCAGTGTGACAATGGCAGAGGTGGGAGCAAGCGCCTTGGGAGTGCAGACAGGCCTGGCTAGCACTGGTTCTGCACATGGGGACGAGTACGCCCTGAGGAGTCACTCTGGTGGTTTCATGTGTCCATTCAACAAACAGTTATGGAGAGTCTCCTGGAATCATAGAGCAATGAACAAGCTCACATGCATCCTACCCTCCTTATAATCTAGTGGAAAGACAGACAATTTATTAAGAATTGTTAAAAGTTTATATAAGAATTGTTTTTAAAAAGCCATACAACTCACTATCTAATTACCAATCGTGGCGAGTGTGATGAAGGATAAATGCAGACTAATATAAGCAATTATATTGGCTGTACAACTCTGAATATACTAAAAACTACTGAATCAAACACTTTTTAAAAGAGTGAATTTTATAGTATATAAATGATATTTCAGCAAAGCTATTATTGAAAAGAGGGCACTGCCGTGGTTAGGAGACAGCTCCGGCCCTGCGCGTCTGGGTGCACGGTGCTGGCTCTGCCGCTTACTGGCTGTCTTGTCCTGGCCAGTTTCTCTAACACTCTGTACCTTGGTGTCTTCATCGGTAAAATGAAGATAATAATAAGGTTAAGTCAGTGTTTCCAAAGTACTAACGACCATACCTGGTACTCAAAAGAGGTGAACTATTATGATAATATTTACTGATGAACTATTATTATATTTACTTTTGGGGAGTCAGAGAGGAAACAGGAGTCAAATCAAAAGAACACTCCAAGGAAGCAAAATCAAAAGACTCTTTTTTCAAAAAATTTTTTTAAATTAATTTCTTTTTAGAAATAGGGTGAAGGAGGAAGAAAGAAAGGGAAAGAAACACTGATGCGAAGAGAAACGCGGACCTGTTGCCTCCCGCACACACCCCAGCGGAGACCAAACCCGCAACCCCGCCACGGGCCCTGACCGGAATCTGCGGGGTAACCTCTCCCTTCTCGGGACAACGTCCAACCAACGTGAGCGTGGGTCAGGGCCAGAAACCTCTTGAGCTCTATTCCGGGAAGTTTCTATTCTGGAAACTCTCTTTCTAGGGCTCTGCTCACAAACTGTAGGTACTCTGTTTTGATTTATTTTGCTTTCTGAAGAAAGGTCTTGTCAAAGAAATTGACCATGCCATGAACATCATGTGAAAAAAACAATGATGTTTCCTCATTTAGACAGAAAGCAAATCTCCTATCTTTACTTATACATTTTTTCTAATAGCTTTATTGAGATAGAATTCATGCCCCTTAAGTTCTCCCTTTTACAGGCTACAATTCAATGGTGTTTAGTATCTTCACAGAGTTGTGCAGCCACTGCCACTGTCTAATTCCAGAACTTTTTTTTTAAATATTTTATTTATTGATTATGCCATTACATTTGTTCAAATTCCAGAACATTTTTATCATCCTCAAAGAAACCTGATCCTCATGGAGGCACTCCCCAATCCTCCCCTTCTTCTAGCCTCTAGCAACCCCGAATCTGCTCTGTTTCTAAGGATTTCTTTCTCTATTCCTACCTTTATTCTCGAAAAGGCATGTGGAAATGTACTGCGCTGTTTCTGGGGTTGCCAGAGTTTATTCTCAGATTCCAAAGGGAAAATAAATAATTTCTGATCAATTACAGTTGGAAGCAACCTACGGGGGGAGATGGAGAATTTAAAGTCAAATTTGTTAAAAGCTTCACAAATTGTTATTTTAAAACAACACAGTTAAATTAGATTTTACAGGAAATGTTATATTGGTAATTACAATAAATTAGACCAATCTTTAGCATTTTTACCACAAAAAACCTGTAGTTGTTTATTAAGCATATGAACGTCTAAGTCCGATAAATACCGTTACGGCATGAATAGAAAGCTCTGTCTCTGGCTGAGTTCACACGGCACATGATTGACAGAATTACTGCACTAGAAAACATTTCTCAGTAAAGAAAAATACAACATGCTGTCCTTTGCTTAATAAAGTCAAATCACAGGGTAACCAATGTTAAATGTATTCAGAATGGTTGTACCACCAAGCATTTCATACTTACATTCTTTAAACCTCTACGATTTTGTAGAATTGCAAAAACTTAAGGATCAAATATGGTTAAAGGTCCTTACTAAGCGATGGGCAATTCCTTGGGAGAGCAACGTAAAACAAAATGAAGTAGTAAGTATGAGTATATGTGTGCCTTCAAATTTTTAATTTAAAAGCAGTTTTTTTTAATGGGTAACATAATTAAGATCAATAAAACTTGACCACTAATGACCCAATCTCTTGATTCTGCTGTGATGCCTACTTTGGGAAAATTATCATTTAGAGGGCAATTTATGGACTTCTGGTTTCACCCCAATGTGTAAAGAGCCTGGATGTTATCACTCCCAACCTTACAAGAAAAAATGGTGAGCAAACCCAAAACAACTCTTCTCAGAGCCATTAGAGAATTCAGATCATATGGGGAACTGCTGCCCTGGACACTGGAGAGAGCAGCAGATAAAGACTGATAGTAGAGGCCAGCTGTTGGAGCACGCACTGGGAAGGGAACTTAAACTCCAACTGGGAATCACTGGAGGCTCTGTGAATTTGCCTGAAAGTTAAACACTCTGAAGGGCCCAGTGTTGGAGGCCGGTGTGGGGGGTGGTGTGCAGTGGGGGGAAGCTGTACTTTCATGAGTTTTACCTCTAGGAGCCCCAACACGTTCTCATGGTAAAAAGTCAGAGAAAAATCCCCTCCTGCTACCAACAGGGAGAAGGGAAAAGAAATCATTTTAAAACACTCCCAAAGGAGTTCTGTTCTTTGTTCTGTTCTCTGTAGTAGAGGTAAGCTCTCCAGGAAAACTATTGTACCAAAGCCTTACCTGACTTGAAGAAGGGCACTTAGCTAAATTCTGCTCCCTCTGGGGGATGATGCTGAGAAAAATTTGTGAAGGTAACAATCCAGGGACATAGACCCACTAAAAGACTGAGACCTAATTGTAGAATTATAGGATGCTCCCCGCCAGCACACATTGTATCCACAGAGCCTCTGTATAGCAGAGGACTATGGATAAAAGAACTGCAAGGCTCAGACTCTATTTAGGAAGGAGTTTCTAGGGAAACCCAAAGACAACAGGGAAGACAAGACAGACGTGGAGGAAAGGGAAGCCTCAGACACCTACAGTTACAGCAGACAGTACACACAGCATAACTGACCAGGTGAAGGCCTACTTATCTCGGTTCCTATTACCTGATACATCAACAGGAAAATGACAAAGCATGCTAACAGGCAAAAAAAGTCCAGAGAGACAAAGCAGGCATCAGAGTCAGATTCAAATATAACAGATTTTGGAATTATCAGACCAGGAGTTTAAAATAAGATTAATATGCTAAGGGCTCCAATGAAAAGTTGACAACATGCAAGAACAGATGGGTAAAGTAAGCAGAGAGATGAAAACTATGAAAGAATCAAAAGGGAAAGCTAGAAATTAAAAATACTCTAAGAAACAGGGGACTTCCAGCCAAGATGGAGGCATAGGTGGAAATACTGTATCTCTTCACACAACCAAATTTAAGGACAACAAAGATTTAGAAACAAAAACACAACCAGAACAGACAGAAAATGAACTATACCGAAGTCTGACAACAACGAACCATTCATCCAGACTGGTAAGAGGGTCGAAGTTGGCAGCTGGCTGAGAGGGGTCCTGGCAGGAAAAGGCGGTGGTTAGCAGACCCGGGTGCGGGGAGGAATCAAGCAAATCCAGAGAGACTTGCAAGGTGGTTGGCTAACCACAGACACATTCTCAAGCAGATAAACCAGCCCCACCCCAAAATGAACAGTGAGACAAACCGCACAACCCAGGGCCCCAGCAATGGAAAATAAAGCCTAAAAGCACCTATTGAAAAAAGTTGCAGGGGCTGAGGTGCCAGGAGTGGCTCCCAGCCTCACAGGAGAGTGTGGGAGAAACCCACAGGGTCCTAGAATGTACACTAGTTCACCCACCCAGGAACCAGCACCAGAAGGGCCCAGTTTGCTTGTGGGAGGTGGTAGAGGGGACCAAAATCTGAGAGAGAGCAGAGCAAGCACCATTATTTCCTCTCTGACCCCATCCCCACATACAGAATCACAACCCAGCCATGTGGGTTGCCCCGCCCTGGTGAACACCAAAGGCTCTGCCCCTCATGCATAACAGGCGAGACCTGACCAAAAATGGCTCAATCAGAAGAATAAATCAAAGCCCCAGAGCCTATACTTTTAAGTGACCAAGAGATAGCCAACCTATCAGATGCACAGTTCAAAACACTCCTAATCAGGATGCTCACAGAACTGGTTGATTCTGGTCACAAATTAGATGAAAAAATGAAGGCTACACTAAGTGAAATGAAGGAAAATGCACAGAGAACCAATAGTGATGAAAAGAAAACTGGGACTCAAATCAATGGAGTGGACCAGAAGGAAGAAAGAAACAACCAAACAGAAAAGAAGGAAGAAACAAGAATTCAAAAAAATGAGGAGAGGCTTAGGAACCTCCAGGACATCTTTAAACGCTCCAACATCCGAATTATAGGGGTACCTGAAGGGGAAGAGTGGAAAACTTATTTGAACAAATAATAAAGGAGAACTTCCCCAATATGGCAAAGGAAATAGACTTCCAGGAAATCCAGGAAGCTCAGAGAGTCCCAAAGAAGTTGGACCCAAGAAGGAACACACCAAGGCACATCATAATTACATCACCCAAGATTAAAATGAAGGAGAGAATTCTAGAAGCAGCAAGAGATAAGGGGACAGTCACCTACAAAGGAGTTCCCAGCAGACTGTCAGCGGATTTCTTAAAAGAGACCTTACAGGCAAGAAGGGGCTGGAAAGAAGTATTCCAAGTCATGAAATGCAAGGACCTACTTCCAAGATTGCTCTATCCAGCAAAACTTTCATTTAAAATGGAAGGACAGATAAGGTGCTTCTCAGATAAGAACAAATTCAAGGAGTTCATCATCACCAAGCCCTTATTATATGAAATGTTAAAGGGACTTATCTAAGAAAAATAATAAAAAAATATGAACAGTGAAAGGACAGCAAACTTAGTTATTAACAACCACACCTAAAACAGAAGAAAACTAAGCAGACAGCTAGATCAGGAGTGGAACCATAAAAATGGAGATCACAAGGAGGGTTAGCAACAGGGAAGTGGGAGGAGGAAAAGGGGAAGAAGGTACAGAGAATAAGTAGCATAGACAGTGGGAAGAAAATAGGGGGAAGGCAAGAGTAGTGTGGGAAATGTAGAAGCTAAAGAACTTATGACACATGGACATGAACTGAAGGGGGGAATGTGGAGGGAGGGGGTGTGCAGGGTGAAGGGGAATGAAAGAGGGAAAATGGGACAACTGTAATGGCATAATCAATAAAATATATTTAAAAACACTCTAAGAAATAAAGGCTTCTTTTGATGAGCTTATCAATAGATTAGATACAACCAACAAAAGAATCAGTGAGCTTGAAGAAATGTAAACACTCTAAACCTAACATGCAAGAAGAAAAGAGACTGGATAAACAAAAATAATATCCAGAAACTGTGGGACAATTATAAATGATATACATATAATGAGAATATCAGAAAAAGACAAAAGGTTCAGAAAAAATATTTGAGTAATAATGGCTGAGAATTTTCCAAAATTAATGACAGACCCTGAACCACAAATCCAGGAAGCTCAGAGAATACCAAGCAGAATAAATTTCATCCCCGCCCCTTGCAAAAACAAAAAACAAATAAACAAAAAAAAACCCTCCTACACTTAGACAAATCATATTCAAATTATGGAACCAAAGACAAAATCTTGAAAAAAGACAGGAAAAAACCCAACTTGCCTATAGAACAAAGATGAGAATTATATTGAACTCCTCTTCATAAACCATGTAAGCAAGAAGAGACTTGAGCGAAATATTTGACACATCAAAAGAAAAAGTCCTTACCCTGGAATTGTGTATCCAGTGAAATTATCCTTCAGAGGTGAAGGGGAAATAATAATGTCCTCAGACAAACAAAAACTGAGACCTGTCTTGCAAGAAATGTTAAAATTCTTCAGAGAAAAGAAAATTATGGAATAATTTCCATTAAGTGGTGCAGAAAAAAGAAAATTATGGAGTATATGAGGCAAAAAAAAAAAAATCCAGACCTGATCACCATGTTCTTCTTTGTGTCCCAAGATTCCTAATTTGTCTGCATCCTCTCCATTCTTCAAAGTCAATTCTTAAGTTTGTTTTATATATAATATTAGGGTTTTTAGTTGTACTGAGAAGAAGGAACCAGGTCTATACCATCTTCCTAGAAGTGAAACTTAGTATATTCCTTATGAAGACTTACCTCCATACGCTATGTATTTATAAGTGAATTTGCATTGAATTGTAACATTGTATCCTGTCCTCACCCCACCCCCACCACCAATAAATACTGTGAGAGTTTTTCCATGTCATTAAAACTTTTTGGATAGGACTTCCAGTCAAGATGGAGGTATACATAGACACACTTTGCTTCCTCATGCAACCACAGAGAGAATTACCCCAAAACTTAAACCTCAAAACAAATAACACCCAGAACTGTCAGAAAGTCAAACTGTATGGAAGTCTGAAAACCAAGGATTTACAGAAGCCTCATTCATCCAGACAGGAAAGAGGGGCAG